GGGGGGGGGGCATGAAGGTGAACTCAGCTTCCTTTGGCTTAGCAGTTTTATCACCTTGTTAGTTACTGATGAATGATTACAGCACAACACCTGACAGAGCTTTGACTTTGCTTTCTCTGCAGTGTCCTACATAAACCAAGTGCTATGCTACTTGTCAGCCACCGGGGGGAGACAGAGATTCTAAAATGTGTTTACACAAAATACAAAGAAAAAAACAGCATAGAACTTTTCCATGAATCAAGCAGACCGGTATGCTTTTAATCAGTCAGAGCCAGCAGGTAAATGGCTGATCAAAGTTCAGATAAACTAAAATCTGTCTCCATCATTAGAAACTGGACTTTAATCCCAGCAAAAGCCTTGTTTAATCATTGCCAAACAGCAGGAGGAGACTTCCAGTGAGATGAAAAGATTCTGTTTCCACCTTGTTGAGCTATTTATAGTGTCTCCTGCCTGAGTTCATATTTATGCAGAAAAGCGAGACGTAGCTCCCCGCTGCCCTCCAAAGCCAGCTTACACTCCATGAGTCCCAGGAGGATCAAAGAGGCCAGGCCCGTCATCGTCATGAACAGCAGCAGGATGCCACGGCGACCGCACCTGTCCACCGTCGCCCACAGCAGCAGCCAGGCGCCGCCTCCCGCGCTCACAGACAGCAGGTAGGTCCAGTAGAAGCTGGGGGCGGTGCCTCTGACGTCACCACGGAAAGAGCTGTAGCAGTGACTAATGCCATGAGAGATGAATCTGAGGGGGAGAGATGAGGGGAGCGAGTGAGAGAGCGCCCGCCCGCCTGCGTGCATCAACACAGGCTTCAGAGACAGAGTGAAATATGAGGCTGCAGCAGGCCCCCAAACAAAGTGCTGCACTGACACAAAAGATGGCGCTAAATTAATGCGGGGGTGACTTACGAGGTGAAGCCGAGGACGCACAGGTTCTTCCAGATGTTCTTGCTGTGGAAAAGCTCAGGGAAGGACAGGTGGGGGCGGGAGGACGGCACCGGCTCTGAGTCCAGCTCTGCAGGAACAAAAACAAAAATTCCACCATTAAGGTCCAACTGTACCACTGCTGCCTCCCTAACACGTTGCCATGACTACAGTAAATGTTTCTGTCCAGTCTGCAGCAATCCCTCCATTTATCAGTATCTATTTATACTGCAATAAAACTTTTTTAATAACGGTGAGATGACTTTTCCAATGTTTCAATATTTACTGCAGCCTATTGCTACTGATTGACATTTAAGGTTTTATGTACTTTTTGGGGAGTTTCTTTTTTTTTCCAAGTATTTCTGTATTGTTTCTAAATTTTAACTGTTTGTTTATATAATTTGTATTTGCTTTAGTTATTCTTCTTTATTCTATTTAGTGCTTTATACATAAAAAAAATATTTTTTAGGAAATATTTTGAAGCTCTTATAAGTTTGCACTTGCATGTGTTGTGGGGATTCTTTACAGTCTTTCTAAGGCTTTTTCCCCTTTGGATCAATATTGAACTAAGTTATATTAAAGAAAGTTGTGATAAATGTTTTTTCTACATCGTCCAGCCTTAATATGTTGCAACGATCCCTCAAACTAAACATGCATATAGTGCCAGTAGAAATGAGGTCCTCCCTTTAACAGGAGGAACCCTCAATAGAAGCAGGCTTTGTGTGAACAGCCTTTCATCCTGGGGACTGTTTGCAATGAAAAACGCAGCAATAGCCGTTTCAGCTGCTTTATCTAAGAGAGAGATGCAAATCCACTGCTTGCTTGTATCTACATGGTGACAGATGGGTTTTTTTTTCAGAGGAGCTGTGTTAATTGTTATTAGAAGTTGTTTTATATCACCTAACCACATAATGCTTCTAGCAATGGTATTTTTTTAAGAAAATTGCCTCTTTTAGGCTGAAAATGACTGTAGAGATGGGAATCGAAAACTGGTTCCTGTTCAGAACCGGTTCTGTGTGTTCCAATTCCATGGCACCGTTTGGCAGCTCGTTTAATGATTTAATGATAACGGTTCCAGGCAGCACCAGAGCCGCTCTGGGCAGCACGACTTACGTCACGTTTTTTACGCAAGTTTACGAACACGGCATTCGGTAAGCAAGAACGACGTGACCAAGCGTAAGTCTAGAAAAGCAAAACAAAAGCGGCCAAGGCGATCAATAGTTTGGGTTCATTTTAAAGAAGAGAAAGATGGCAACAAGGCGCTTTGCAATCATTGCAAAGTGGCAATTGCATCCCTGGGAGGAAACACATCCAACATGCAGAAACACCTGCACACACTACATGGCGTACATTTTAACAAATGTTTTTGTTGCTTCCGGACAAAAGCTAAAGTTACGACCAGCATGGAAGGAAACTCTGGTGGTAAGTAGCTAGTTTTATATCACTGCCTGTGCTTAATGTGACTCCTAGTAAATCATATGTCATTCTAAAATAAACCAATCTCCTACCTCTCTTTGGGGTTATTAAAGGAATCTGCCTTTCTCGTTAATCCAGCCCTTCATTGCTAGCATGTTTAATTAAAACTCCTGGTAGCTGGAATTCTTACATGATTCAAGCTATTGTGATGGATGTAAGGAAACATGCTATGAAGTTGCTCCGCAGTTCAGGGAGTGAGAGAAAGGTGACGCTAGTTTATTTAAATCACGGGGAGATGAGTTTATTTCCCGAAATTGCACAATAATGCTTTTTCATTAAACAGAATCGATAAGGGAATTGGAATCATGAAAATCTGATAAATTTCCAACCCTAAATAACGGATTGGTTGATTGTAACTAATTAGTTTAATTCTTAAAGGAAACTCTTCATGAACTCACGTTCAAACTGATTAACTTAGTATGTTTTCAGACTTTTGATTATAAGTGACGTGTTTATTTATGGGTCCTCCACACATTTATCTGTTAAGCTGTTCCTATTTTTCAAGGGTGAAATAACTGGAGATTTTAGAAATTTAAATACAAAACTTTATTTAAAATTAAGGGAGGATGTTTTTATCGTGGTCAGGCTTGAATCTTCCATAGACTATCACTTCATACCATTTATGCTCAGTGAACAGGTACCAAGGCTCACAATCATTTTATTATCTCATTTAATGATTCTTTCACTTTAAACCAAAAACATGAATCTGAGTCGACCCTGGTTGCAGGAAATGCAATGATTTCTAAACTTCCTCATACCTCATAAACAAAGCAGAACACAGTTTCCCTTAAAAATCACTGTCACACATTCCAGCGTTTAAAACACAAAGACAAGAAAAACACGGTTTATTTCCCTTTAAAAAGACAATGGTGATGTTTGTGGGAGATGAGAGGATAAAGTAAAGTTGACAAAACAGAAGCAATGCAGGAAAGAGCTGCTTCACCTGATCACAGCCCAGCAAACATGTTTGTATGTAAATAAAACCAGGCTTAAGTCATCTTCTACAGCAGCAGCACATCATTATAGCTGCTTTTTAACGCATTTAATACATAATTTGAGCTACTTTAATGTTTGGTTTAGCAGGAAAATCACACAATGTCTCAGTTACACACAAAAACTTTAACATGATGGTTTAGTTCATTCAATTTAAAATTATTCCTGCAGCTTTTAATGCAAGAGATTGAACATTAATGTGTTGTTTTTAAAACTTTTTTTTATAAATATGGTTTTGCTAAAAACCCTTAAGGGAATATATATAAAATAAAACAAAGAAAAAAGAAGCTTATGTTAGTCGGGCTAATCGCTCACATAGCTAGCCTGCAGCCTGCTGCTTAACAGTCAAGCTGCTTGATTTAAACAGATTTTTTTCTTTATTTTATAAAGAGGAGAGAAAAAGGCAGCATTTTTTCATTAGACAGTTGCGACCCTATCCCTGGCATCTCAGCAAAGCATCTGTAAATGATGAGCTGTGATTAGACCACTGAGAGGCGTGTGGCTATCGATGCCGATGGCTTCACATCTGGATGCCAAAAGCTGTTCGTCTTACAGCTAGAATGACAACAGAGTGATACTGCCACCGGGTCGGTGACCAAGAAAACTGCAAGTGTATTTTTCAGCCAGAGAAAGTAGGAGGGAGATGACAGACCCCACCATCGTCTCATAAACACTTAGGTTACCATTTATTGGGACTTAGAAGATGATATATCAATATATAAAAATACTGAATTAATAAATTAAAATGTTGCATAGTGCTAGCCTGATAAACCAGACTAAATGTGAGATTAAACCAGGGTTCCTACAGCATAAGGCAAGTTAAATTCAAGACTTTTTAAGACTTTTTAATGCCACTTGAAATAAAAATTTAAGACCAAATTTACAAGAAACACAAGAAAAACCAGCTTGCGACAACTTTACCCAAAGGTTTATTTTAACATAAACCACTGCACTAATGTTTCACATTTTGAAAAGCTTCCCATACAGGAAGAAAGCTAAAAACACACAAATGACAGATATATTTAACAATTATTTAACTGAATTCACAAACTTTGTTGTAGCAGGGAATAAAACAAATCAGTTTCAAAGCCACAACATAACTAGTGCTAAGTCTTTTTAGCAGCTATTTTTCTTTGCATTGTTTTCTTAGTATTTGGTGATAAGTGGAGGCGTTGCAGAGACAAGGGTGGAACTAAACTGAGAAATACCGGCTGTTTCTCTGTAACTCCATTTTGACGCTTTGTGTTTCGTGCTTCGCATGTGCGACTCCACTGCCTTAATTCCCATCGTTCTGAGCTTGAATTGCTTTTTGCACAAAATCCACTGTGCCTCATGTATGTTCCCTGGTTTTAGCCATGGAGAAAACTCTTGGCTGGAGACAATTTTGGTTACATTTACACTTACGCTCATATTTTCCAGACAAAAAGTAAATGGCGGAACCAATAATAGTGAGCCTATATATATTTTTTTAATAATAAAAAAAAATGTCAATTTTAACGTTTTATTTAGATTACAAAAATAAATCATTATAAAAATAATCCTATTTGTGATGTTTTAAAAATTAAGACCTACGAAAGACTGATTTAAGACATTTTAATACCAATTAAGGCCTTAATTTTATTTTAAAGATTCAATGCCTTTTAAGACTTTTTAAGGACCCGCGGGAATCCTATAAATGTGTAATTTAGTCTGGCCCCGATTAATGAGACATCGAAAGACAACCAGCTGTCTTTCAAACCATGTCTGTGCCTATTGGCTAACGCTCTGACCAATGAGTACAACTGACTGTGACGTAGGAAGTGCAGCAGAAAGCTGGTGGGGGAGTGTAAACAAACAGCCTGTCAGTAAAATGGCGAATACATCCTTCTTAAAAATGAATGAGCGTAGAGCCTCTCCCTGCTCACGTTTCAAAAAAAACCCCAAGTCTAATCCTTCCAAAGCTGATTCCAAAGCTGAATCAATACTTCAATAGTTGTTGCCATCTTCCTTGTTGCTCTTTCTCCAGCGTTGCGCAGCTTTGTCGTCACACCCTCAAAACCCCGCCCACTTTCCATCGAAAAGTTCAAAACACATCTCTGCGTTGTGATTGGCCCACCAGTTCTAAGGCATTGATCGAGGCTAGACCACTTGCAGGCAAAAATGATTTTGGCCGCTGGCGGGTGGGGCTAGTTTACTAGCTTAGCATAGTGCTACTTTAAAAGCATTACTTAAAAAAGAAGCCCAAAGATGGACAAACCTGTGAAGCTCTCGTCATCCCTCAGGTCTCGGTTGGAGTTCCTTCTCTCGTTGAAGGCGTTCATGTCTGCCGATCGCTCTGTGAGGAGGAGCCAGCGAGGAGACTCTGGGAACACACCGGGAATACTGCAGGACAGGAAAAGCAAATATAATCACCCTTTGGCCACAAACTTAATCATCTGAAAGCTAAGGTGGATTTAGCAGCCAGGATTTATTCCATCATAGGAAATAAACAGTGCAGATCAGCAAGCGGTGCGAGACTTTAATCCCTTCTTACTGACATTTGCAGATTATTGCTACAAATCTGCTAATAACCAGATGTGATTAAGTTTGAAGGCTTGTTTTTCCAGCAGAAAGCTGACACGTTGAATAAAGTGGCTCTAATGTGCTCTGACACGAGCAAAGAGGAGATCAATACAATCTGACAGAGCTATCTGGAAGCCAGCTGGCTCTCAGAAACAGGTGCTTTTAATACTGAGGCCATCATTTCTCAAGTTCTTTTGCTTAAAAGGAAGTAAAGTACTTGAGTAAGTGATTGTACCCATAGCTGAGGAAGAGTGTTAGAGGGGCCGCCCCAGCTCCCAGCAGACCCCTCCAGGACTGGCAGCCCAGGGCCACGGCCAGCAGCAGCAGCTCTCCTGCCACAGTCATGAGTCCGGCCAGCATGGTCGCCACAAGCCGGAGGGACGGCTCACAGAGCTCCAGACCTAGCAGGCAAGGAAACATCGTTAGTCTAATTTGCTCTCCTCTGGGATGCTAATCTTCCGTGTCTGACTCTAATCTAGAGGAGCTTTCGTCTTGCAAACACATTCAACTCTTTTAGCATGGTAAACCAGCTAGGTAATTACATGCTGCTGTTTACAAATGCAGTCTTTTGACTCTGGCTCAAAGCACCAATTAAAAGCTAATTATGGATATTTAACCAGGCGAGCCTGAGCAGACATATCAGTCACTTACATCCACAAACAAGCTGACATCAGGATTGGTGGGGGGGTTGTTTGGAACCAAACCTCATCTTTGAGGGTAAAAAATAATAAAGCGTCAAAGTATTCACCCCCCTTTGTAACAGAGAAAAGGAACATCGACAAAAATCAGCGAATAGTCATGAAACTTTGGGAGAGGATGCATCGTTTTTACTACACTGTAAACATAAAACTCTATAGATTGATCCTAAATGAATGTTTTAAACAGATACGTCTCTATAAGCATTTTATCTAGAGACTCAAACTCCACCAAATTAGATCAGAGTCTCTCTTCAAAGTCATATTCACTAAAGTATTTAGTTCCAGGCTTTGATTAGGACATACTAATTTACCAGCAGCTTTGGTTGTTTAACTCGATGGTGTTCATCCTTGCTTAAGGCGCATCCCCACAGCAGGATGCTTCCACCACCAGGATTTGTGATGAGACTGATGTATTTAAGGTGATGTTAAGTTTCTTGTTCCCCCTTTGGCAGATTCTCCCACCTAAACCGTGGATCTCCGGGCTGCTTCTCTGTTTAAAGCTCTCTTTGTTCGACTTGTATCTCATGTCGCTACAAACATGCTTAGTGTGAGGGATTGCTGAAGAGTCAATGAGTCGATGCAATCAGCTGGTTTTCCTTAGATAGAAAACTGAATCAATTTGACTGTAAGATCTGGTTGAATTGCCTTGAGATGACGTGTGTTGTGAATTTTTGCTATATAAATAAACTGAATTGAACTGAATCTAGTAGTGCTGTGTTACACAAAATAAATTTTCAGATTCGGAATCAAAATGCATATAAATTAAATCTATCTAAAGATAGATTTAATTTAGATAGATTTAATTTAACCCCAGATTTGGGGATTTTTCTAATTTGTATTTCCCACCCATCTTACAGCTGCCATTAACTACCATTACTTTATTTAATTGCTTTTGAATGCTGATATAATACGGGTATCAAGATGTTACTAAAGTAAAACCTAAACAAAATGTTTAATGCCAGCAAACTAATTTCAGAAAGGTTTGGATCAAAAGGAATCGATTCAAACCAGATTCGTAAAATTTTAAATTGAAATCCATCTTTATTTTTCGGCTACGTTTTTATCCATCCATCCAATTTCTGTCACGCTTATCCCTGCTGGGGTCACGAGGGATGCTGGTGCCTAATTTCAGCCGTTAATGGGCAAGAGGAGGGGTCCACCCTGGACAGGTCGCCTGTCCAACACCGAGACAAACAGGACAAACAACCATTCACACCTTAAGGGCTCGTTATCCTCCTGCAGCAGTGTGTCTCAATAAGCTTGTCGCAGATATTTTTGATTTATGCCCAATATTGAAGCGTGGTCTGCGCTATGTTATTCCACGCCACAGCGCAATCACAAACTAGCGAACTAGCTATGGGTCTAGATACGGCCGAGGTGGTAAGGAAGAGGGGGCGAGTTTGTGCGACCACGGAGGGACATGAGGGCAAAAAAGAGTGACGATCCAGGTGGAAAAAGGGTCCCAGCGTTCTTGTGCACTTTCTCGCTCTTCTAACTGGTCCATCTTCACGAGTTGTTTTCCCACAATGGCGGTCATACAAACAAAACAAGCCGGTAAGGTACCAAACAGGAAATACGCACAGCATAGCGCAGATGCAGATTTGACCAATCAGAGGCCTCCTGTCTGTGGTCAACTACAATTTTGTAGAGGTGCAGCAGAGTGTTTGCAGAAGGGGCGGAGGCACATTTGCATTCATTGCGACACACACGCAGACGACCTGGTTGGTAAGAAAAAATAAGCCTTAAAGAGGATTTAGAGAAGCCAGTTAACCTAACAGTCATGTTTTTGGACTGTGGGAGGAAGCCGGAGTACCCGGAGAGAACCCACGCATGGTCAGGGAGAACATGCAAAGATCATGCAAACCTGCAGAAAGACCCCGGGCAGAGAATAAAACCCGGAACCTTCTTGCTGCAAGGCAGCAGTGCTACCCACTGTGCCAGTGAGCTACGTTTTCATTTCAACTATTTGATTTAGACGTTTTAGAGTTAAAGACCCTTTTGGCAAACACATGCCACACTTTTCAGAATTTATTCCCCCACCAGAAAAAAAAAGAAAAAAGAAAAACCGTGAATCATCTTCCCTTCAATCCATGATTATGCTTTACATAATGTTGGCCTTTTCACCTAAAATACAGATAAAATCAAAGATTTTTAAAATCACACATGTTGAGTAGTTTTAAAAAGGATGTGTGTTCGGTTAAAGCGGCACAAATCCTAATAAAACGCAGAATAATTCCCCATAGGATTCAATTATGCCCTAAATAGTCATTCTTTTATGTCACATATATCCATAACCTATCAGGCCTCAGAGGCTCCTGAGGACGACCAGAGAGATCAATACAGTCAGAGTTTTAACAAGCATTCGATAAAACACACCGATTGCTTCCTGAATTATACTGAAAAACCAACCTGCTGCTACAGATAATAATTTAAAACCAAACAGGGAGACCTACTGCGCTATTTCAATAACAAGTTTTACTTACGGGTGATATACAGGGTTAGATAGACGCCTGCACTGGCGGCAGCCAGGCAGAACCGCATGACGATGAAGATGGAGGGGTACGGAGAGACACACACCAGCACCCCGAACACCACCGACAGGGTGAGGGAGATCAGCAGGGTTTTGGAGCGGCCCAGCCTGCAGAAACAGCAACACAAAGAGGAGCAGCTGAGACACGTTTGAACTAAGATCGGGTTAAAACAAAATAAAAAAAGAAAGAAGAGGATGGGGGGACATAAACAAGACTATTTAGAGTTAAATCTGTTATTTACCTTCAGATTTTAAAGAGTTTGTTTAAAAAAAAAAAACATTGTTTAACTTCAAGACAAATTTAAATAACTCTTCTTCCTCAAAAAGCCAAAAAACTAAGATGCTTAGCGAATCAATAGTGACCGTATATCAGTCCTGAATTACAGTTTGGCAGTCTCCTGTTTCCTGTTGCAGCCTCTTCTTTGGGTCCTTCGAGGATCCAGCATTAAATTACTCGCCCTAACACACCCTCAGCTGGTCAGGAAATTAATGAGGGTCGTTAGCTGATTGGAATGACATCATCTCCCTCCAAATCTTACCAGGACTGTGTCTAAACCTTTCCCGGGTCCATTTAGCAGAAAGCTGCAGAGGGTCACTATGGTTAACTGGTCTAAAAAAACTTGACCTTTTTATATAATTAATTGGGGATTTATTGTGACACACAAACGAAATGTAATAGATAGTTGTAAAGTCATTTTCATGCAGGGATTAAGCATCCACACAGCATGATGCTGCCACATCCGAGTTTGATAGAAGACGTAAACTAGAGTTGGATCCGATTATTAATCAATAGGGTGTAATATGAAGGTAGCTAAGCTTTCAATGGGGCTTTGGTAGGGCTTTATACAACTTTTAGGAGTGGGTTTCAGGGGATTTGTGCAGCATTTGTGAGGTCAGATTAAGATGAGTTTGTTTTAAAGTCATTATATCAGGTTGAGACCAAGGCCGTTTCTCAGTACGTGTACTTGTGCGTTCTCATGTGCTCGTGTACTCGTGAAACGTCATACACCTCAGTCCCAGTACTGTTCCAATTCACAAGAACAGCAGTCCGAGAAAGGACAAACTCCCCGGATGTTGTTCTCTGCCCTCCCTCTTTACCCAGCATGCATCAGAGAAGACTTGTCCATTCTTGAGATTGACGGTTGTCCCAGCATGCACTGCAGCAGCAGTTTCCATTGGAGCGCCTACAGAGCTCAGAGTATTGTTTAAAGTTCTCTTTTCTGTTGCTGTTGTTCAATAAAAGTACGTTTTAAGATCATGTGAGGCGAGAATATTATACTTTAAACTGTCACTATATGGTCCATTTACCGATTTAATGCGTAATTTGAAGAAAAATTCAGAAGTTTAGAGCACTGCTGCAACCAGCGGAGCTCCGAGGGTAACGGCAGCCAGGGCTAAACGCAGCCCGTCTGCAGCAACCCTCTCTCTGCATAGCTGTGTGTGAAGGACCGCTGGCTCTGATGGCGATATATTCTTGTTTTATTTGGAAAAATTTTCATTTGATTTGTGTTTATCTGACTTTGGTAAATATTATTCCCCCACTAAATGAAAAAAGTAAGAATTTAGCATCTAGAGACTATTAATAACAGGAGGTGAAATGCAGCTCCAGACGAGCTGAGCGTGTGGTGACATCATCAGTACGCTTCAGTTCCAATTGACCCATATTTATGCTGCGAAAGTCCCGACTTTCCTGCGTTCTTCTCTAACACATACTTGGCAAGGGCATGAGTCCGTACTCGCATTCTTGCGAATTGAGAAACGGCACAAGACTTTGTGCGACTTCCTTTAGATAGAAGTGTTGCTACAGAGCTGGAGTTCAAACATTTTTTGAAACATTTTAGTTTGTTTAAATTGAATTAAACAAATTAAAATTTAAATAAAAAAGGAAAACGGCCAAAAACTGCCTTCTCTACCTTCACCACCAGCCGTTCTTTAACGCATTACAGTCAAACAAGAGCTTTTCTCCTGGAAAATCCCAAACAGAAAGGAAACATTTACTCGTTTAAGCTCCTAAAGCTCATTCTCTACATCGACCAATGCAGCTTCTTTTTATTGAATTTCTAAAGCTGATACCGATTATTTTGACCCTACCAACCGCTGTATCGCTTTTTCTCTATTTACATGGTAAAAAATGAAACAAGGATAGCAAATGTTACACGTGTCTCACACATTTATAAACAAATCAAAGAAAACATTGATGCAAATGGGCGGAGCAGCAATGCATGGGCGTTTCCTGATCCCCAATATGGCTGCTGAACGCACTAATGAATCGACAAACAGATGCACAGATGCACAAAATACGCTAGCAGCCTAGAATATCGTCCGGCTGACGTATCAGTCAGCTCTGCTTTCTACAAACCAGGCCACTTTAAAGTTAAAGGTGTGAAGCTACGGATCGCAAAAAGGTTGGTGACATCATCCCTTCCACCTCGTGAGTAGCTGCTGATACATAACCCTTTTAATTAGTTATAGTATCACCAACAGTCACCTGTGAAATATTTGGTAGAAAGGAACAGAAAAATGGATCCTCCTTCTGCAGGATAATGTCTGTATGTGTGGCAGCTGTGAACCAGGAAATGACTGGAACACCTGAACTCAATCATTTGGAAACTATTGACAGCAAACTGCTTGTTCAGTTCACCATAACTCATAGAATTTCACACATGAGCTCCGATCTCACCAAAGGTTGAACATGTCTATCTTTCTTTCCAGCTGTGATAACAACAAGCTCATTGACTCCATAGTATGTTTTTTTTTTACTAGTTTATGTCTCTTTGTTCCACAGACTGGAAACAAATACATAAATCTCCACAGAGGAAACCTGGACCAAAGCGACTGGATTAAAGAAAAATGAACAGATCTGTAAGAAAGAAGAAAAACGCTGCTTAGATTGTTTCTTCATTCACTGAGCATCGAATACATTACCTGTCAGCAGCGTAGCCCAGGCCGAGGCAGCCCATCAGAACGCCCAGGATGAAGCACACCTCCTCCACCGGAACCAGCCAGTACTGGGCGCACACCAGATCCCACTGGACAGACGGAGAGAGAGAGAGAGAGAGAGAGAGAGAGCTGTCAGACATGACCTGCTGCAGTCAGGACATTTCCATTTTACAGAAAGATCGTTTTGGACGAGCATCGAAGTGCAGAAAATGAACAGAAAGCCGTGGTAAACAATCAGTAAAATCAGTGATGAAAGTCCACCAGAGGAGGGATATCGAAGAGAAGCTTCGATCTCTTTAGTTAGAGAAGGTGAGGTAGAATACCGGTTAACAGCCTTAAAGAAAGTGAGGTCAATAGAACATTTGTTTCTCTGCTTTCAGATTGGGTCTCATTAAACGGATCCACTGATTTGCATTAGCTGAGCTCCACTGAAGGGAAGCAAAGTACAGTTTGAACGATCCGGTTTGAAGGGAGTTGGAGCCGAAACATTAGGAGACCGTCACGTCATATCAGCCTTCCTGTTGCCCGGGTAACAGGAGCACAAAAGAGCACAGCGGTCGGACAAAGGGACGGCCCGGCTGCATGGCAGTCACACGGCCGGAATGCTTTGCACGACAGGAGCGGAGCGGGAATGGGAACTAACAGGTTCTGAAACTGACCTGACTGGTTTGGTGAGATCAGAGAGATTGTTCACAGGGACACAAACCTGCAGCCAGGCCACACAGTAGGCCTTCATTGATTAGAGGAAGGAAAAAAACGACATACCCGTCACCCTTGAGGTCACCTGACCAGTAAATAAGGTCTGTTAGAGAAAACATTAGGAAAAAAATGAAAAATTAAGGGCAAGGAGAAATGTGGCCTACAGAGAAGTTTAAAACAGAGTTTGGTTTAACAAGATTTATTTTTAACAGTTAAAAACATTCAGTCCACCTAATCTGAGTGGCTGAGAAAGGAGAAAATGATCAGAGAGGAAGCTGAGCTCTCTAGACCCACAAGTCAGCTGGGGGAATGTTATGCCAAAACCCAAAGATGGTGGACTAAATCCAGGGAGATGCAAGCAATGGTTTAAAAAAAAAAGTCGTGAATAAATTAGTTTGACTCAACAAATTAGAAGACGATCCCATAAAATTTTCCAGCATGCATTTTTTTTAAAAACACTGAACATCATGGTAAACGCTCCATCTTCCCTGCTTTGAAGCACGGTGGTGGCAGCATCATGCCTTTCAGAAGCCTTTCAGATGAGCATCGGCTCTAATTCAAAACATATCCATCAATAAAATGGTCTAGTCAAAGATCCGTAATATAAGCAAATCTTGATATCTTGTGATATTACGCATGTTGTTACTGAAAATAGCTTCAAAACAGTCTTTTTATTTTTTTATTTGACGCTTTACGACTAAAACATTGTTTGATTAGAAGACTGAGCAGCGACCCTTCTCAGCATTTCCTGAATTTACTTTGGGTCGGAAGTTCCCGCGCTGTTCGGCGTCAAGCGTGTCCAAATGGTTCCGAGCTACAAATAATCAAAGTATTATATTAAAAACTTTTTTTTTGTGGACGCTCAACTGCAACCGGCATCGAGCTCAACTCAGGCACTAATGGCAACCCCACGAAAAATGAGAAAATCAACCCTGCCAAGTATGAGTGCAACCTACGAGATCGACCAGAGGAGAGCTGCAGTTCTGTGTTTTAGCCACAGGTGGCAGCATCATAGAAAACTCCATAATGCCTCTTTAAATCTGCAGGTGATCATTTTCCTCCGGATAAACTGACTGATTAATATTTTATTTTTGCTTTTCTCTAAAAAAGTCACCAATTTTGTTTCTAGATGTGCAAATCTACCGTAACTTTTTTTAGTTGTTTAATTTGAAACAAATAAAAAACAACTTTGTTTTGATCTCAATAAATAAATCCCAATGTTACACAGTTAATGTTTGTTGTAGCAACATCTGAAAGTGTTTCAAACACCCCTGAAAGACTCCATCTACAGCGTCGACGTCTTAAAGGAGGAGAACCTTTAAAGAAATGGGAAAGTTTATCGATCCGTGTCGGAGTTAAAGCTAATCAGGAGCTTCTCCTGCCTCATTTCAAACATACTGCCACCTCAGCACAAAGACGCTGCACAAAATAAAGGAGGAAAAGCCTCACAGACAGCAGAGCATCCTGTCTGCAAACCTGAGTGTGAGCACTGCTGGGCAACGCTTTCACAACACGGATGCTTTTGCATCCAAACGCCTCCCTTGGCAGCGTTTGAGCATTTTTCCGTGTGCTGCAGTGGTGTGGGTGGATTACTAGCATACTGCCCTAACTCTGTGGACTGGGTGGGGCTCCCACAGCAGTGTGGTCAGAAACAGAAAAAAAAATGGGGCGACAAGTTTACAATCCATGATGCATGCTGCAGAGGTGAGAGGGAGCATATGGATGAAGTCCAGGAATCAGCTGCTGCTTTAATTACAGCTTAAAAGCTCCAGGATACAAAGTTGTTCTCTTATACTCGAGGGGCACAAAGCTGGAAAGCAAATGATTGATGTTGGCCAAAGCAGTCGTGTAAATATAAATTAGGACCAATGAAGAAAAGATTTCTTTTGTCCTTCATTCCCAAATAATAAATATTTCCTTATTTGAATGCCTTGGTCTCTGTTCTAAATGGTTAAACCCCAGAAATCCTCCCAAAAAAAGCCCTTTAGAACTACAAAGGGATATGGAAAAAAACCCGTCATGCAGTTTTTTTCCATTAAACAAACTGAACTCAAAGACAATCATTGACTTCTACAGATCACCACCTGAGCATATAAAACTCAGAAGACTTCACCACATAAAAAAATAAAAAATCCCAGCCTGAACCGCATCAGCATCCAGCTGAGAGAGATGAAAACAAGAAGAACCTGCAGGAGATAGCGAGGGGAGCCTAAAAGAGTCCCAACTCTTTCCGATTAGCAGCAGAAACAGAGATCTGAGAATCGTTCCCACCCCAAGTCTGTACCAAATCATCACAGCAGAGTTCCTGTGTTAAACTAAACAGCTTTACCTCCAGTTTTTCCAAGTAACATCAAAAATGCAGCAACAGAAGAGGGGTTTGTTGTCTTTAAATCCAACATGGCCGCCAGATGTTTGAAACACAGTACCAGCCGAAGTGTTAAACCTGTTTGTTTGCACTCTTGCTGGCTGCTCCTCACTGACAGCACTGCTGTGCATTTTTCTTCTCTGCTTGTGTGTGAATTATAGAGAAACCGAATAGCATTGAGCAGCTAGCCTGGTCCAGGAGCACAACATTTAGCAAAGATGTCGTTTTAAGACTGCAGATCTGCCTGCACTACCTCCTGGTTCATGTCGTCTGCTTTAGCTCCTACTGACAGCCGCTAAGGACAAGCGAACGGACTCTGACGCTCATAAAGCTGTTGTTTCATCACATCTTTGTATCTCTTGTTGCACGGTTGAAGCAGGTGGTCAGAAACTTTTGGATCTCTGTAGCTGAAGGCAGCAGAAGCAGCGGAAGTGGTGCTTTGTACAAAACAGGAGGAGTTTTTATCTTTATCCAATCTGCTTTAAAGCCAAGAAAAAAGCTGCCTCGTTTATTTGTACACTATTGTAAGGCTGACCCCCCCCAATCTGTTCTGTTCTTTATCTGTCCTTTGTTTTATATCTGTCCTTTAATTAAACTTTTATTTAACAAAATAATAACCCTGATGTATTTTTATCAAGTTTAAATCATGTTATATATGGTTTCCTCTGCTATTATGGCAAGTAGTTTTAACATTTAATAGCCAAATAAGAATTTGTAAGCAAAACCTTCACTATTTAATACTTCCTGCGTGTAAAAAGCAGATATCATTTACATCATATCACATATAAATGCTGTTACCTTTCATTTCATTTTATTCCTTCACCTTAAATAGGGCCTATTATTCAACATTGTTGTTTGCATCTTTTTAAATAGTTACATCTTTTAACTGATTTTAACTTAAAATTTTTCTCAGTGGCTAAAGTAGATTTTAATCCTTAAATGTTCGGAAAATTTTTAGCTGAAGGAAATAGATTGCAGATAGATCTGTGCGTATGATTTAGTGAATCAGAACCATAACAAAAAGGTATAATTATATTATTCTCATTCACGTTAGTGTTACATTTATTTAAACCATCAAAAAAGCTGTCCAGGTGGTTATCTGTGGAAGGAGGAGAGGCCTGCTGCTGTGGAGGAACGCAGCCTCATACAGAAGTATGTTGAAATGAACAGGAAAGAGCATGTCACCAATTAGGAGATCCAAGGAAGCTTTTTTTAGATTATTATAATACTTGAAATGAATGAAAGCCGAAAGTAGCCTGGAATGTTCTGTATGTAATCCTGTTTGAAGCTAAGAGGGTTATAATCCTATAAAACACTTGTAGAGCGTCACACAGACTTTTATTTGGGTGTTCCCCTGTTTAAATAAGTTTGTGATGCTAAATGGAATTAGCACAGCCTGCCAGGATGGGCAGCTGCCTTTAATATTAAAAGGAAAATAAAGCAATGACACCCAGCAGAAGGCCAGAGGCTGAAGCTTTACCTCCGTCACGATGTTGTTCTTCAGCCCCTCTGTGACGTTGTAGTCCCATCCGCCCTCGCAGTCCACCACGGCCGACTGGCTGCTGTTCGCGTACTGCTTACACTGCGATGGGCTCCCCGTCTCCCCGGGCCTCACCCCCTTCTCCCAGGGAAGGGAGGCGTTCAGGACCTCCGGCGCAGGCGACGGGCCGGGCAGGCGGCAGTGGTGGGGAGGGGAGAGGGTGATGAGGGGGTCGGAGGAGAGCAGGAAGGCCAGGAAAAGGTTGGGTAGGATGGAGAGAGCGATCAGCACGCGCTGCTTCTTCCTGCCCAGAGCCAGCACCATCACCTCACCCGTGGGGGGCAGCGAGGGCGGGGCGGGGAGGGAGGAGGAGGACGGGGCCGGGGAGGTAGGAAGCGGGGAGGAGGGCAGGGATGGAGGAGGCGCTGGACATGGAGAAGGGGAGACGAGGGGAGGCGAGTCGGGGGATGTCATCGTTTGGGGATGGAGGTCCACAGAGCTCTAAAAAAAAAACAGAATACACAGAAAAACATGGTAGTGGTAGCATCATGCTGTGGGATCTCCTTTTAAATACAATGAGAAGATTCTATGGATTCATTACATCATTCTAACCTAATAAAAGCCTCACAGCTAACAGAGTCTGACATCACTTTAATAACAACCTTATAACCATCAGTTAAAATCCAGATCATTGTTTTTGTTGGAGGATAATAAAGTTTTGTGAGTATAAGGAGCTCTGGTGTGTCTCTGGGACAGCCTGTCTGCCCACATGGGGCTCCTGCAGGAGTGTTTTCCTTCCACAGGGCGAGGAAGTCTAACAGAAAAGGAATCCCACTGGGTTACATAAGAGCTTTTTTTCTTGTTTTTTTAGGAGGTTGAAGGGAAAGGACGTGGAAGGAATGTAACACCAGGGGCCAAACTGGCTGGCCTCTGAAAACAGAGCAGCAGTGATGGAGGGGCCCCCTGTTAAAGACACCTGCCACGGAAAAAAAAATAACTAAACAAAAATAAAAGCGGATGTTTTTCCAGCATCTGCGTGGCTCCCAGAGTAAATCCCCACATTCACTTACCGTTGATTAAAAGAAGGTTAAACTGGAGCCAGAAATGAGCGCCTTGTTTCCTCCAAACATCCGTAACATCGCGGGGTTTGGACGGATTTCACCACATCCTCCGATCCTCAGCTGGTCCAGCCTGCTTCTCTAACATCTGAGCAGACATTTCTATCCAGGAGGAGAGCAGCTTCTGGTGTCCACCACCTTTGATTCGGACAGCAGGCGGCTGTCAGTCCGGAGCTCAGCTAAGGCTCCGGGGTTTGGACATGTGATGGGGGACCCGGTTCGGTGCTGCTGTTAGTCCGAGTGTCCGAGCGCCGACATTACAACAGGAACAAGAGGGAATAATAAGCCAGAAGTGGGTACGACATCACCTTAAAGGGGAATGAGCAGACAGGCGGACAAAGAGGGTGGAAAACTGCGGAGAGACGCCTGTTTAAAGGGGACAGCGCGACCGGCGGCGGAGAACTTCGAGAAAAATCGTCTGAGATCGTCAAGAAAGCGTCTAACCTGCCGACAAAGATCGTGTACATAAAGTGATGATTCACTTTGACAAATAAAAGTGGCTGCTAAAAGGATAAACTCCAAAATAAAACCAAACAAATGAGTCTCCCGGTTACTACTGACTAAAAGCATATAAGTTATCACGTTTATACAATATAATAAAACAAAAATATTCATCAAAAGTTCCAATAAAAGATATACAGAGAAATACGGAAGAGGATTAGGGCCACTAACAAAAAAAAAAAAAAATTTAACTGATTTTTAAATTTTATTTCAATACAATATGAGGGAAAATGTCAGAATTCTAACTTTAATCTCAGAATTCTGACTTTTTTCCCCATATTAAACAGAAATAAAATTTGAGAAAAATATTTATTTTCTCAAGTGACAGCAATACGCTTCCGTACATAACAAAACAAAAATATTAATTAAAGTTTCCAATAAAAGATATACAGAGAAATATGGAAGAGGATTAGGGCCACTGAAAAAAAAAAAAAGTTAACTGATTTTTTAATTTTATTTCAGTTTAATATGGGGAAAAAGTTAGAATTCTGACTTTAATCTCAGTATTCTGACTTTTTTCCCCATATTACACTGAAAACTTTTTTTTCAGTGGCCCTAATCCTCTTCCGTAGAGAAATGTGTTAAATGTAACAACATATATGATTCGTTAGATTGCAGAACAATTTTACTAATTCAAAAAGATGTTTTTAGTTTATTTTTTTATTTGTTTTTTTAATAAATAGCTTTATTACAATTGTGCAGGGAGTATTACAGATCATATTGACACTGCAATGTAAGTAAAACAGGAAAGGAAAAACATGAAAAAAGGAGAAAAGATGAAAGAAATAGGAGATAAAAGGGAGATAATGATAAAACATCTTCAGTCTGCTTCATCACCTGCAAAGATGTAAAAAGAATAAGTAGTATAAGAGATACAACAAAGTAACACCTTGATACTATCGCTGAAGTATAAGTAGTATTATTTAATCTGACAGGTATACTGTGGTAGCTGAAGATCAGAATATGGGCTTTCTATATGGAAATGAATCTCTAAGTACCTGGAACCAGGTACCTGTAAAAAAAAAAAGATGGTTTTGATGATAATTCAATTTCCATGACCCAGTATGAGTAGATATTCTAGTCTACAAATATTAATTTCTAAACAAAGCATATCCTATTTACTGATTTCAATAATCACATTTTATTTCATTAAACTTAATACAGTTCATCACAAAGGTTTCATATGTCGAATCTTTAAATTTTTCAAATTTTGTCTGCTTATGACTAAAACATCTCAGTGTATTGTACTGATATATTATAAATTAGACCAAAGTAGCCCATAAATATAAAGTAAACAATTTTTATGTATTTTTTTGCCGATAAAGGTTTGAACAGTGCGTAATGCATTTCTATTCAGCTCATTTCGATCTTTAATACATTTTAGAGCTATATTTTTCCGCAACCAGAACTCAAAGTTGTTTTAAGTATTTTTTTAGCAACTTCACACATCAAGAGAAGAGGAAAAAAATAAACAGATTGGCTATTGCTGTTGACTCTTTAGCAATCCCTCACACCAAGCATGCACCCAGTGACAGTGGAGAAGAAAACTCCCTTCTAGAAGGAAGGAACCTCCAGCAGAACCAGACTCAGTGTAAGCGGCCATCTGTCTAGGCCGACTGGGGGTTTGCAAAGACTGAAGCAGACAAAAAAGGATCATAGAATCAAAGATCAATAAATACTATCTTAGATAAGGTAGCAGTAAAGTAGATGTCTGCTGGCTCTGTACAGGAAAGCAAGAATTAAGCAGATGAGTTCTCATGTCATGGGGATGAAAGAGCACATAAAGTTAGGGGTAACCATTCAACAAATACTGCAGAATGGGAGAACCAAGATAGAATGAAGCAGAATGATTAAAAGTCGCTCTTATGTCCTCCAGCAGTCTAAGCCTATAGCAACATAACTATAGAGATAGCTCAGGATAGCTTTTGTTATCCTGAGTTTCAAGCCTAATCTTAATAGTAGAAAGGATGTCAGCCTCACAGACTAAAACTGGTAGCTGGTTCCATAAGAAAGGAGCCTGATAACTAAAACACCTCTTACATATAAACTAAACTAGACCTGCGAAAAACTAAAAGTAGTCAAAGAACTTTCCCACCTGAGCTACAGATCTCAGCAGCTGCTCTAAAATGACCACGGGCTTTTGACCATTGCAGTCCTTGACCAACCTGCCACTTTGAGACAACAGTGGTGTTTTTGTAGGTTTGCAGTTGTTCAGGTGACAATATAAACATTGTTCTGTTTTACGATCAAAACTTGGGAAGTTGTTTTATAACCACTTTAAACGTGCAGATCCTTAACTCTTCCTGTGTGCCATGTTCCTTTGACTTTATGATGCTGTTTCTTAACTAATGTCCTTTAAAAATCTCTAAGGTTAAAAATTGTAATAGCGAACAGATTTTTTTCTTTTTAATCAAAAAAGGAGAATTCCGAAGGTAGAAGATTGTGAATTTATTCGAGGCCTATCGGAGAAGATGGGGTCAGTAACTTAAATTATTTTGCAAACAAGAATGTATAGAAATCTATGTCTATAGATTTGAAAAAAATAGGCAGAATGTTTGATTAAATCTGGTGGCATTATTCCCAATAGACTTTAAGCTTTAATGCAGCAAACTGGTTCTTCAAAGTAATCACTCAAAGGGGCTAAATGCAAATATATACCAGACTTAAATTATTTCCTCAGTTTTTCTTAATGTAAAAAAATCATAAACTTATATGTGTTTATGTATCTCATAAATCACAACTTTCCAACAGTGCATGACTGAGAGTGAGCTGTCTGTGCTCTTTTCTGTTTCTTCATATTTTCTGCCACAGGGTGGCGCTGTAAATAAGAGACCCAGAGGTGGCATGTCAAACACCCAAATACTCCTCCATACAGATTGAGACAGGGGTTCATGGAGGTCTTTCATTCCTCTGTGCCTGACCCCTGCTGCTCCTGCTTGTCTGAAGAAGCAAACCAGAGAATCTTCTGCAACAAGTGTCACCCTTATTATTCCCACAGTAAATCACATTTTCTAAATTGTTTTAGTTTAAAATGTGGTAACTGATGTGTCCAACCGTGTTTGCTCCACTTGGCATGCATGACAGGACCATCAGAGCTGAAGGCTGCAAAGGAAGTTATAATAAAATTAAATATTTATAGCAGTGGAGAATGCAGAGTTAATGTGTTTTTCTCATCCGGGCTTTGTATTGCAGTCGACAATAAACGTTATATTTGGTGGTTCTGAATGTTCTATTTTTCCTTCTTCTATCTAAGATATGGCAAACCCATTTTACAGTTTGCTAACAGGTCAATTAGGGGGAGTTTTTTCAGGGGGGGTTTAACTGCCTGAACTTAAAAGCATCACCCAACGTTACTTGCAAATGTTTTTTCTCATTTCCTTCTACAATAATATAAAACGTACATTTTTTTTTTTTTTTTATCAGTATATGATCTGGGAGCTGAGCTCTGTTGGCGGGGTTGTGGTGAGGTCCATATGGTGCTCTAAAGTTGAGTAACTTGTTAGGGATTAGGTGAAATACAGACTTTCTTAACTCTGTGGAGATGTTGCAGTCCTGGGACCACAGATTGCCCCACATGACGCTGTGGGACATTTCAACAGACACGGTCACACAGAAGTTTTTATTTGCCTGAGGACATGTCAGAGTGAAAAAAAAAAAGGTATTTATTGCACTTTCACTCTCCTTTTGTAAATTTTCACAAGCAATTGTTTGTATTTCATAGAAAAAGAGAAAAAGCCCAATAAGACACAGAGAAGAAAGAGATTAAGTTTGGTTGGGCTGATCTGCAGCTGTGCTTAGGGGATTTTTGCTTTTTTTAAAATGTCATGTTAAAAAAAAGAAATGCTTCAAAGTATCATAAATGTGGAAAAAGTGTAAGAAGTTTAAAAATGGTCTTATTCACCAACAAAATGGATATCAACGTTTCATTGTATCCAGCAACAAGGCCTGTTGCAGCTTTCTCCTATATTTAATTTTTTTAACTCTATAAAGCTTGGAAGTTGATGCTAATTCTGACATTTTTCATTTAAAAAAGCTTCTTGGATGAGAAGTGAAATGTCTTCAAACTTGGAATCAAAGTCCAGTGGATTGTTTTTTTTCACTTTTTTGGAATTTATTTCTCTTTCTTGCTCTGTAGCCTTGCAGCAGGGAGGTCCTATGTTTGATTCCTGGATCAGCGTCGTTCTACATGGAGATTGCATTTTCTCCCTTTGCATGCATTTGTTCTCTCTGTGTTCAACCAACAATTTAAAAAAATATCACTGATCACTTCATCTTTAAGACCCCTTGTTTTTAATACATTGTTGTGGGGACCGACTGCTCCTTGTGGGGCCCGATGCCTGGACCCCATGAGGGGAATTGCTGTTTTTACATCAGGGGTCACGTTTAAGACTAAGATATTAATTAAGGTTACATTGGGGTCAGGTATTAGGTCAATGGAAAGGCCCCACAAAGATATTGAGACAAGTTCGTGTGAGTGTATGACATATTTAGGACCGTTTTGGGTATATTTATTTGTCCTTCTGAGGACCAACAGACCTTATGGGGCCAAAAGTCTGGTCCTAATGTGGCGCAGCCCCATTTTTAACCTTACAAAGTTAGTTTAGATGTAAGGTGGGAAATACTTTAGTTTAAGGTTAGGGTTAGGAATATACTGAAAAGGGTTAGAATTGGGGTAAATGTCAGGGTTAGGCATAAATTCAGGATCTAAAAGGAATGTAAATCAATGTAAACTCTTAATATGCATAAAAATACAAACATGTGTGTTTTTCTTTGCATCGCTGTATTTGTTGCCTTAGGATAGACTGGTCAACCCTGGACTAGAAAAACAATCTAGAAATAACTACAATTTTTTTAAACTAAGTGTATTTATCCTTAATTTGAGTAGGTAAATGAGATGGAGTCAATGGAATTAGTATTTTTACACTTAAAATAAGATATTTAGAACCTATGCACTTGAAATAAGACAATGCAACTGTGTTTTCTTATTTTAAGTGTAAATTGTATTGATCTATTGGCAAAATGTCTCTTTTACCTCCTCAATCCAAGAACAAATGCACTTATTTTAAGAAAAAATTACATATCAATATTTAGATTTTTTTGCAGTGTGGGCTGCTCACCAGTTCTAGGCACAAGATAACCCCCTCCCCCAACCCTGACAAAAAGCAGCAGAAGATGAATTGATGACAATTTCTATATCAAACAAAGATAACCTCAGTAGAAACAAAATAAAATGCATTCGGCCTCTGTCTTGACAATCTGCTGAATATTATTAGTTGTTTGAAGGAAATGTGAGGTTCTGGCTGTAGCTCTCTCCCATGGATACCCTTTATTTTATTGTGACATGAACTCTGATGCAGACTAGGGTTTATGTCGCTCTGGGTTCTTCTGCGACCTCCTGGATGAGTCCTCCTGCACTTTTGGAGTAATTTTGGTTAGTCCAGGTAAGGTTCCCCAATGTGATACGTATATTTCATGACTAATGGCTTTCAGATTGGTTCAAACCATTTCTTGACAGAGTTCTTTCATCTGCTCATTAATTACCTTCGATCGAGGCATAATGTGTTGGTTTTTTGAGATATTTCACTAACTTCATGTTGTCATATTGCTTTTATTCGTGTCATTTACTGATTGTTGCCATCCTAAGTCACTGTTCTGTTTGTTTAATGTAACTTTTATTAACTTGGAGCATCTTTATCCAGTAGAAACAGTAAAAATTAGTAGTTAATCAAATAGGTTTTCATCTCCCCTATAGTTCCAATGGAATCTTAAATCTTAAGCCAAAAATCTAAGATTTTACATTACATAAATAAGCCAAATGTCTGGCTGGATGCCCCCACCCCCTCATTTCTGTCTGCTATCTCTGTGTCCCTTCATTACCATCACAGCCACAGGAAGGCCCTGGCAGCGCGAAACACTGATATTATCTCTGAGCTCCTCAGCTCTGTCCTCCACTGTGTTGAAATCTTGGCCATCCCACAAAGGGAAACCGCTGGGGCACAACGGTCCATGGCATGACGTCCGTTTCTGTGGGTAGAGGGTTAATGGGAAATAGCACGGCTGGTGTGCGCCATGTACCTTGATGAAGGATGCTGTGGGGAATCAATGATACAGCAACAGAAAATGTTGATTCTATGCAATGTTAAGGCTAGGAATCCTACAGCTCTGTTTTTTAGATGTTTAAATGAAGAAAGAATGGTGTCAACAACCATTATTCTGTGTATCACTGAAAAACAATATCATAATGGAGAAGAAATTCTTTATTTCACAATATTTTACTAATTATTCATAGAAAATAACCAATCAGATTTTCCTACAATATCTTGATAAGTAAATTTAAAGTAATTTGCATCAGTATAAAGGCATAAATCAAATATTAGTGGATGGAGGCACTAAGATTTTTAGATTGCGTTGCCTCCACTACAAACCACGGGTGGTTGTGTAACTCTGTTGGGCAATAAGACTTCACAATCAGCTCTGAAGAAGACAACAAATGTCAGGTAAAATGATTAGTCAATGGTTATGAAGTAGAAATCATACAACAAATCTGACTGACAGAAACAGTGGACAGCTATCATGAATGTCCCGTCGACCAGTTTGCATCTTCATGGTTTATCTTTTCATTTTTCTGATTTTAAAACACTAAATTACATCCAGAGAGTTTATTTTTATGTATCATAAAATGACAAATATATATATTTTTTGTTTTGTTCCATTTTCTAATTAATTAAAACTTCATAAAATGCTTAAATAATATTTTTCACCCAAAAATGCTGTCTTCATTTTCTACATTTGAACCATAATTTAACTGTGGGAAATTTAAACACAAAAGGTTATCATTTCTTTATTTATCTATTTTTCATTTTGTTTGTTTTGCAGCCCACAAAAATTGAAGAGACTGAAATATAAAATCAATCACTTCCTTTATTTTGAATGTATATGTCAAAAAAAATACAGTGTGCCATAATAGAACATTTCCATATTTAATTAGCTGACATAAAAAAAATAATGAAAATGTATTAGAAATGACAAAAACAAACCATGTCTTGGAAAGATTTCTGAATAATTTTTATATTTACATACGTTGGAACAAGTGAGTGAGATTAATAAAACATGGTAATTTAAAAAAAAAGAAAAAAAAAAAAGAAATGACAAAAACAGTAAAAAATAAAAGGAAAAAAAACATATCATAAATGGATATCACTTTTTAGCTTTGTTGCTAAATATAATTAAAATTGTTCTTTCTAATGTATTATGTTTTTTGTAAAAGCAAATCTATATTATCCTAATTGGTAGATAGCCAAAAATAGAACATTGCAATTTGTTTTTGTTTTTTTGTTTTTTTAATACAGGGAATCAGGACATCCAAACTTAATAATTTACCTCTTAAATATAATTTTCAAAAATGTAAAATGTTATACCGGTATCTCTGTATTTAGCTGCACGCCGCATCCTTAGTTAACAGTTGTCTAGAAAGCAAGTTTATAAATAGTTTTCTTTTAATGGATAAAATCAAACATGGGATTATTTGTGATTAACTTAATTGGTTTACTTTCATTTTAATTGAAAACTGTTATGAGGACAGGATCATTTACTTACGTAAGCTAAAGTAAACAAATCTTATTAATCAGCAGCAATAGCTAAGCTAAAGCTCGTAAACTGTAAATTTTTTATAGCTCATAATGTTTTACCCTTAGCAAAAACTAAGCTGATGAAAAAAAAACATGAATAAAATCGTCTTTTAAAATGAAAAAGATCATTGAAGTGGGATTCCAGAGCTATGTGCTTGAAATTTAGATATTTTCTGTTTGATTATTTGTTTAAATAAAACCAGGGTTCCATTTAAATTCCTTAACTAGTGCAAGAAAGCTGATAAAGTTGACCAACTAAAGCTTTTTACTAATGTAAGCAATCAAAATTATAAAGTAAATGTATAACTTTTTGTAATTTCTGGATTCTGCTTATAAAAGTTAAAACATAGAACTAAAGTTTATTTTTAAAAACCTTTCCTGTGTTGAGGTTAACACAACCTGATTAAATCATTTGGCTTTTATTGTGGTGTGAAATATTACAGCATGAGATTGAAAGAATTTATCCTTTTCATAATCAGTCATTAGGTTAAAACATTAAGCATTTAAAACCCAAAGCAGCTGAAATGTTTAAGATGCACTAAAGCTGAAGGGTGGCGAACAGAACCTCTGTGCGGTTGACAGGACACTCTGAGTAAGTTCTGCTTTTTTTAAGCGTTATGCAACTTCAAGAAGCACACATCTTAAACCTATGCTATAGTCAATCTTTCCACTTCCCAAAATTCGCAAATGTTAGTGTAAATGAGACTCTTGAGTCGTTTGACATTCATGTCTATGCTAGCAGTAGCTGTGATGCGTGTTCAGATGCCGGCCTCCTGTGCTGCTCCCTCCTCGGCTCCCTGCAGGTGCCGCTGTGACAGGATGTGTTTCAGAGTGTCCAGCTCCTGGGTGAGCTGTCCTATCTTCATCTGCAGCTTCTGGTTCTCCTCCTGTAGCTGCAGGGCCCTCTGCTGGGTCAGCATGATCCTCCTACGGGCTTTGTCCCTGCTCTTTCTCACTGCGATGTTGTTCCTCTCACGCCTCAGGCGGTACTCTGCGCTATCCTTGCTGATGCTTCTCTTGGTCACAGGGGCCCTGAGGGTGGGCAGCAGGAAGGGGGAGAAATCCTGTATGGAGAAGCACAGAAACATTTAAACAGAGAGTTTTTTTATTTGTTTTTTTTACTCCTCCAATGCAACACTAGACTCACCTGCTGAGTGCCTGCATGGCTCTGATGGTGGTTCGAATTCCCTGAGTTAGAACCGTGGCTGAAACAGGAAGTGTTGTAGGACAGGTAGGGCAGCCCCATCATCTGTTCAACCACTCTGTCATCAGCACCCCCCCTTATGATCCCCTGGGACTGGTTGTATGAGATCATGTCCATCTGAGATATCTGGTTGGAGGCTGCAGCTTGGTTGGAGACAGGATTCAGGGTTTGGCTGTGAGGCTGAGCGGGATACGAGCTCACCCATTCCTGGATGACAGAGGACACTCTGGAATCTGACATCTGTACGGAACGTTGATGGCAGAATTAGATTAAATCCATGCTTTTATCATCATGTTACTTTAACTGAAACAGTATAAATATTATCTAAATAATTCATGCAACAACTTGTTAACAACCTGTAGAAAATAAATTGATTGATTAATTTTATTGATCTCACAGTGGAGAAATTTACTCGTTGCATCGGCTTAAGTTGAAAAGAAGAATGCACCAAAGGAAGAAAAAGGTGCATGTGATATATACAGTATATACAGTGCGTCCTCATAAGACAGCTTTTTTTTTTAATAGTAGGATCATTATAAATTACAACAAATTGTTGCTTATTAATTAATATATGCAAACTTTATACAGAAAAAGTAACCGATTAAACTGGGAACATTAAAATCAGATATAATCCACATAAATATGTTTATTCTGCATAAAAAAAATAGTGTGAATTGTTATTTTTTACAATTTATACTATACTTTAAATAGATATATGTGATAAAATAATCAATAAGAATGGTAAGTGGTTGCTGAAAGCCTTTCTGGGGGCTTTTTTAAATTAGCTACTCATAAAATCTCATTACAGTACATGTTTTAGATTGTTTGGTTTGATGCAAAAAGTCAAAATTATCCACATACTTGACATATTTAATATATAAAACTAATTATTGCCATTATTTGGACTTTCATGCCCACAAAACAGTAATGATGAAGTTGTTAATTTTACCAAACAGGCCTACGACAGAAAGCTGAGAGTATTTTTCGTATTTAGCTCACATTAAAACAGAAACTGGTGGATTTAACTGAATGCACCATATTTTTTATTCCAATTTCCAACATTAAGGCCAATTTCGATGAATTTAAAGCTTGGTTGTGACTTACCATGGCTCTCCTCTAACTCCGTATCTCTCCTCGGGCTGCGTGAGTGGTAATGACTTTAAGACAGGACACTGAAAGGCAGGTACCCCTCTGATGATCACATCAGCACTTCCTCTCTCTCTCAGACACTAACTGTTGCACATTTCATCCTTTTTAGGAAGACGATTCAACTTCCATTCATGGGTTCCTCTGAAATCCGAAAAAAAAAAAAAAACTGTAACATTGAGCCATCACTTACCCTCTTATCGCAACCAGGGGCCCTACAATTAGCATTAATGTCTCATTAACATCTCTGAGGGGGCAGGTGGTTATCAAGTTCAGGAGGAATCCCAGAGGCCTGTGAAGAAACATCCAGGATGTCTTTATCTGATCGCCCTTTTATTAAATGACAATGGAGATATGAAGTCAGCGCAGGATGTCTGACTGCCAAAATGAACTTGTTTATGTCAGAAAGTTCTATTTAACAATAGTTTAGTCTGAGTATAGCTCTATTTTATATCCATATATAAAAAATAATTTCAACATACTAATAATTTTGGACTTGTGTGTGTTTATGTTTAAAATAGCCTAATTTATTATTGAGTTAAAGTTAGAAGTGTAACCAAAACAACAGAACAGTATCTGAAAAATAGGAGATTCCTTTAAAAGGCACGTTTACTAATGTTAAAGTGCAAGTAGTTGATGACTTTAGACCAGAAAATACCAGATCTAACCTCCAAAAAAAAGAAGAAAAAAAGAGTTTTATTTGAATAGAAAGAGTTTATTTGGAGAGAGCGTGCAGTCTTATCAGAGATGTGGTTTTAATATGACATCTAAGAGTGGACAGGTACCGCTCCGGGGGGATAAGTGACCATACTGACTTAAGTAAAACTGAATTTTTCAAGCTGTAACTTCTGTAAATTGTGTTTCCTGCTTTTGGGGATAATTAAAACATGATGTTTAAGAGTAGAATCATACATCACACTTATAAAACAATTTTGAAACTATATTAAGTACATGCAACACTTATGTTTCCTTAAAAAAAGTTTTCCACAGCTACTTTAAAACAAATAATTGAGCCTCTGCATATTTTAATTTTACTGAATTTGAAATAAATGACCTACCTTTTTATGATAAAGATAAAAGTGCAAAAAGGGTTAAACAACAAGAACTGAGATACAGTTGTTTTGTGTTTAAACCTTTATTGTATTCACCGAGACCTGGATAACAAGTTTCGTTATAAGTTTGGTGTGTGTGATGAACCAGTAAATATTTCCCCTCTCTAAACCATATAGTGTTGCTTCACATAGAGACTCACTGATGAATGCAATGATCGAATTAAGCTGCTGCCGGCCAAGATGGAGAAAAGCAAACTGAACATTTCTTAGCATTGGTGCACCAACTTGCTCTAGTGCAGAATAAATTAAAGCATATGCAAGCATGTTTATTTAAAGTCTATAGGTAAATTATTACACAGATAATTCATCACAGCACAAGTAGGGCCCACAGATACTGTTGCACAAAAAAACTGTCTTGTATTCGGACCCAGAAAGAAAATGAAGGTGGATCATCATTCTTCAGAAAGCTGTCCAGATGTCGTAGAGATGCTTTTATAACAGAATAATAAAAGATCATTTCCTTAGATGAACGTCATTAATTTCTATAAATTACTTGTTCGGACTATAGATTTCAAATTTGTGAAAGACAAAGACAGTGTGCAAATCTTTAACCGTTTATAGAGCAAGTTACCATTTTTGATCACATGCATATCCCTTAGAAATGGAGTGACTTAATTTGAGTAGGTAAATAAGAAAATCTCCCAGTTGAAGGAGCATTTTTATCCTTAAAATCAGATTATTTGATATTATGCACTTGAAATAGGAGACTGAACCCCCCCCCCCCTTTGTTATGTAAAGTTATTATTCCATTTGCAAAGTGTCTCACTTACCTGCTCAATTTAAGAAAAAATGCAGTTATTTTAAGAAAAATTGACTTACTTAGATTTCAGTTTTTTGCAGTGCACTCTCTGCTTGAAATTTAGATATCTAAATTCTTTCACTGATATCTAAATTCTTTCACTTAGTGCCCTATAAAGGGTTAATAGAAGTGGGAGGTTAGGAAGTAACAGCACATAACAGCTCAAAATTAGATTAGAGATTCCAGACGAGTAAAAAAAAAAAAAAAAGGCCTTTCGGAAGACATTTTTACGGAAGAGAATTAGGGCCACTGAAAAAATAAAAAAGTTAACTGATTTTTAAACGTTATTTCAGTTTAATATGCGAAAAAAGTCAGAATTCTGACTTTTTCCTTCAGAATTCTGACTTTAACCTTAGAATTCAGACTTTTTTCTAAGAATTCTGACTTTAATCTGAACTTTAATTAACATCCCCAGGGACAACTCGGGCACGTAAAAAGTTGCCTTAATTCCATCATTTTCCACCAACGTATTCCTGGCCCACCCAAACAACCCACATCTTTGTCAGTGAAGCTGAGCGCTCCCACATCTCTTCCTTCATGGTGCCCATCAACATTAAGATCCAACATTCTGAGATTAAATTCAGAATTCTTAGATGAAAGTAAAAATTCAGAGATTAAAGTCAGAATTCTCACTTTTTTCTCATATTATACTGAAATAAATTTTTAAAATCAGTTAACTTTTTTTTTTCTTTGTCTCCAGTGGTGCTAATCCTCTTCCGTACATTTTGATTAAGTTTTTCAACGTTTTTGAATCATTTAAGCTTCCAACATTACAGAAAGCGCGAAGGATTTTCAGCTTTTGTCCCTCCGCGGCTTCCGTACAGCAGTGGAAGTTAAAATGGCTGCTCCTGTTGACAACGTGAGTCTAACCGCTGCGTTAAACCATTATTACAACTTTATTTTTCTTCTTCTAAAGCTTTTTATTACCTCCCTGTTAACTCCTTGAACTAATCTCTTATATTCCTCTTAACGTCGGGGATTAATTTTCTAAAGCGAATCTGCTTCGCTTACAGATAAAAACATGATCGCCTCCTGCTACATGTCTGCTAACAGGATTGGTTTTCTTATTTTTACAGGATCTAATCGAAAGCGATTTACCCAAAGCTGTGCAGCTGTTAAATAACCTCACGGAGCAGGTAGGGGTTTATTTATATTACAAAAACATCTCATGAAAATCCTCTTTTTGGATGATCTGCAATGAATCATCAGCATAATAATAATAATAATGTATGTTTGTTTGCGACACCAGAGGGAGAAGGTTAATATTTTCCTTAAACTGTACCTGGATGCCTTATGAGGCTATAAACCAGCAGTATGAGCGAATATAAGCGACTTCTTTACATTGAAAATAACAGAGCTGCTGACCTTTGCTCTGTTCGTGTTCCTATTGGTTTTTCTCCCTCTATAAATGATTGTTCTCCTTTTAGGTGGCATCAGTAACCAGTCATGTCCATGAGCTGTTGAACAAAGTTAAGGATGGAGTGTTCAAGACTTCAAAGGTAAGCAATAAAACAGTTTAATTGGAACATGGTGGAGTGGCATCATGCTGTGGGAATGCCCTCCTTCAGGTCGGTTAGTCTAGTGGAGCTTAAAGGTATAGCAGAGGATGTTTTTTGGGGGGGATTGATCATCAAAATAATTGGTCTTCCTAATTGTCAATCATTCTGGTGATATGTTTATGTAAAATCGCCCTACGTCCCAGTCTCACATAGTGGAAGACGTGCAAATCTTTTGGAACGTAAGCTTGTATGAGCGATGCAAACAGCTACTTTCAAACAGAGCGTGCACGAGGAGAAATGGGCTCGTGCAAGGGTACAGGGTCGTGCATGTGCATTTTGTTTTTTAAAGAGGAGAGGGTGGTTCTTTCCAAAAATTTGCAACATTCTGTTTCAGAAGTAAGGCATGAAGCTGAGGTGAAAACATCCAGAATGAGCAACACTTTTAATGCTTCAGATCAAAGCGGGTCGATGTGTTGGAATAAGTCCAGACCTAAATCCATTTATCTCTTCAGAACTGCCTTACTCACAGTTCTAAGTTTGACTGAAACCAATTGAAATGCTTTGATCTGAACGACTGTAGCTCCAGCTGTTTGTTTACCGTCATAGTTTTGCTGGAAGGTAGAAGAAAATTTGAAGTGTTTTTTATTATTTCCAGGTGTAGCTCCCTCTGTCTACTCGTCATCCTTCCCCTGCTTAACAAAAACATTTCCACACCATGATGCCACCACCACCATGCTCACAATGCTCTGTTTGGATGATTTTATTTGTAAAAAGCAAACTACATCATTTGGCTTCCACTTAATACTTGAGCACAGCTTCGTTTAGGGTCGTGACATCATTCTCTTGTGAAATGCATTGATGGTTGTGGTTTTATGGTGTTAAAATATGAAGAAGCTAAAAAAAAAAGTATGAACAATTGACCAGATACTTTAGTTTGTTTATATATTTATTGTCCCTTGCAGGGTTTGTCCTTCTTGGACCTTCGCTACAACCTCCTGCTCTTCTACCTTCAGGACCTCACTCATCTGATCAGCATCAAGACGGAAGGAGGGAAGATAAAGGACAGCGCGGCTTTGAGCAGAGTGGTCACAATCAGAACTGTAAGAGGGCCTTTCAGAGGGAGGACAGTTCCTGTCTAAGATGGATTTAGTTTTTCCTTTTTAATTCGAGTTTTTCCTTCTCTGAAGGTACTGGAGAAAATGCGACCTCTGGACCACAAACTGAAGTACCAGATTGACAAACTGGTGCGCACAGCTGTTACTGGAAGCTTAGGTGAAACGAGTTTGGAGTTTTCCTTCTATTAAAGATCACCTCTAGTAGCCTATCAGTAGCAGGATGATCTGAATACATTTGTTCTTTTTCTTTTAGCTGAAAATGACCCGCTGCATCTGCGTCCAAATCCGGAAAATCTCGTCAGCAAGGTCAGTTTTTCCCTCTTTCCTCATAACTTTGCTTAATTTATAGAGGTATTGATTATCCTTTTGGTTATCTGTTGGATTATTAATGTTTTAGTTTGGCTATAGAAGAAATTAGAGATGCTTCTGTGTCTTATTGTCCAGCTGAGCGAATCGGACTCTGAAGATGAAGCAAACAAGGGAGCTTCTGACAAGAGAGCAGCTCACTCTAGTGGCAGGAAATATATACCTCCAAAGATCGCACCAGTGCA